GCACGGGAAGCTGCGAGCCGCGAAGCCGCCCAGTTAGAGAAAGCCACCGCAGAAGCCGCAACAGCAGCACAAGCAGCTAAGACAGAAAGAACCCTGCTGGAGGCAGAAAGAAATGCTACAAAAAAGCCAAATACCAACAAGGCTGACAAAAGTGTCTCCACTGACAACGCAACAATGAAGCATCAGGCACAAATGACTGAACCAGAAGACGATGAAAACAATGAAGAAGACTCAGAAGAGATCCCAGTCATCACAGTCACAGAGCAGTCAGATGGAGACATCATATCCGATGAAGAATATACACAAGCAGAGCAGGAGTTTCCGACTGCTAGCAGTGCACCGCCCAATGAACCCGCTCCGTACGTCTTCGACAAGGAACAATTCATAAGAGACCAGGAAGAACACTATGCACTAGAGAACTGCCAAGTATGGAACGCAAAAGAGCAAAAAATGGGGCCCACTGCAAACAACTCCCACCCAGAGAAACAACCGAGGTAGGCGACGACGACGCTACTAACGTAGCAGAAGCCAAAAACCCGAGCCGCCATCTTCCAGGCGAATGACGCCAGTACGCCACCAGAACCTGACAGCAGAAGCCAGACCTCACCCATCCCGTTCCAGGCCACCCAGGCACACATGGCTGTCCTTTTCAGGACTGCCATGTCCACTCCCAAAACCTGCAAGCCGCCCGCCAAGCCCACGCTGCTGACATGATGCAACAACTAAAAGGAAACTCAGGAGAAAATCATCGCCACAAAAGAAAGAAATTTAAGCTCAGATAGCAAATAACCCGTCCTTGAGAAAACAGGCCATCAGGCGGTTAAAAAAGGACCAAGCTTATCTTTTTTGTTTTTCTTCAAACCAACGAACGAACGTGGGACAAAAAAAGATAGGGGTGAGGGAAGAGGGTCGTCGAGGGCTGCATGGCTAGTGCTGTCGCCACGGATGTGCAGGTGAGAATTTTATTGTGCCCCTGAAAGAAAAAAAAATACCCAACCCTACCGAAGATTCGAAACCGGTTCTCCAGAATGAGAGGCCAGCAATCTAACCACTGGACCAGCAGTAAACATACAAGAGAAACACATTTAATAGGAATCACAACTGTATGGTTACCGTGAACTGTGACCCGTCTACAGTAGAGACAATGACATCACTTCCGCTCTGGTCTATCCTGTGAACAACTTGATCCAACAGCAGGTTGTCTGTGAAATCATTTCAGACATAATCCTCGTTATCTTTGTTTAGAGACAAGCTTTTAAATATTATAATTACTTATCAATATTTCACTTCACCGGCTGTAAACTCTGACGGAAAATTCTGGTTGTTCGTCTACTTTTGAACTTTGCTCTTGTTCCCGAATCTGAGTTTTTGCGTCCACTTCCTTATTTGTGGGCAGACGATTGGTTGCTCGCCTCACAGGCAGATGCACGTAGACTACGAAGAACACACCCGTGTTTAGTCAATTCTTACGACATTCTTGTTGGGGGACTGCGCGTCTATTCTCCCCCCCCCCCCCACCTCTAAAAATGAGGTTGCTTAACCCACGGTGGTTGGGGGGGGGGGGCGGGAGGGGCCACGACAAGTCAACAGCCAGGTAAGAGAAGTGACCTGCAGAAATACTTGGATGCAGTATGGACTATGTTTGGTTTCATATGGTCTTGTAGCGTGTCAGTTGTCGGTTTTGTAGAGTGTCAACTGTCGGTCTTTTAGAGTGCCAGTTGTCGGTCATTTAGAGTGTCAGTTGTCGGTCTTTTAGAGTGTCAGTTGTCGGGTTTTTTTTACTTTTAATTGTCGGTCTTTTAGAGAGTCAGTTATTGGTCTTGTGGAGTGTCAGTTGTCGGTCTTTTGTAGTGTTGTCGGTTTTGTAGAGTGTCAGTTATTAGTTTTGTAGAGTGTTAGTTGTCGGTTTTGTAGAGTGTCAGTTTTTAGTTTTGTAGAGGGTCAGCTGTCGGTTTCTTGTCATGCTGTGTTGAAGAGAAGGAGAACACCATCCAACGGTGATTATATTAGATCCGGAGACAGCGAAAAGATGAAGAGTTCCTAGACGTTTACATATCGGGGGATGATCATGGTTAAGCTGTATAAACGGGTTGGTTTTGCTTGACGTTTGTAAACAACATAGCTATATTTCAGCTGCGAAACAGGATTCTCCACACCCCTTTCATATTCTTTCTTCTTTCCCTTTCTTTCTTTCTTTCTTTCTTTCTTTCTTTCTTTCTTTCTTTCTTTCTTTCTTTCTTTCTTTCTTTCTTTCTTTCTTTCTTTCTTTCTTTCTTTCTTTCTTTCTTTCTTTCTTTCTTTCTTTCTTTCTTTCTTTCTTTCTTTCTTTCTTTCTTTCTTTCTTTCTTTCTTTCTTTCTTTCTTTCTTTCTTTCTTTTTCTTTCTTTCTTTCTTTCTTTCTTTCTTTCTTTCTTTCTTTCTTTCTTTCTTTCTTTCTTTCTTTCTTTCTTTCTTCTGTCTCTGTCTGTCTGTCTGTCTGTCTGTCTGTCTGTCTGTCTGTCTGTCTGTCTGTCTGTCTGTCTGTCTGTCTGTCTGTCTGTCTGTCTGTCTGTCTGTCTGTCTGTCTGTCTTTCTTTTTTCTTTCTTTCTTTCTTTCTTTCTTTCTTTCTTTCTTTCTTTCTTTCTTTCTTTCTTTCTTTCTTTCTTTCTTTCTTTCTTTCTTTCTTTCTTTCTTTCTTTCTTTTTTTCTTTCTTTCTATTGTCTTGTTTTTCTTTTTCTTCTTCTACTTCTCCGTCGTTGATTGTTGCCTGGTGGCCCATAGTAAAAGCGAATGGACGAGTCACACATGACGGTGTCTAAAACAGAAGATTTCAGGGGACGGCATCAATTGCAAAAGTGCAGGTGACATAGTCACACATCATACAAGTTACGTACTGACAGGTGACATAGTCACACATCATACAAGTTACGTACTGACAGGTGACATAGTCACACATCATACAAGTTACGTACTGACAGGTGATATAGTCACATATCATACAAGTTACGTACTGACAGGTGACATTGTCACACATCATACAAGTTACGTACTGACAGGTGACAGTCACACATTATACAAGTTACGTACTGACAGGTTATATAGTCACACATCATACAAGTTACGTACTGACAGTTGATATAGTCACATATCATACAAGTTACGTACTGACATGTGATATAGTCACACATCATACAAGTTACGTACTGACAGGTGATATAGTCACACATCATACAAGTTACGTACTGACAGGTGACATTGTCACACATCATACAAGTTACGTACTGACATGTGATATAGTCACACATCATACAAGTTACGTACTGACAGGTGATATAGTCACACATCATACAAGTTACGTACTGACAGGTGACATAGTCACACATCATCCAAGTTACGTACTGACAGGTGACATAGTCACACATCATACAAGTTACGTACTGACAGGTGACATAGTCACACATCATACAAGTTACGTACTGACAGGTTATATAGTCACACATCATACAAGTTACGTACTGACAGGTGATATAGTCACACACCATACAAGTTACGTACTGACAGGTGACAGTCACACATCATACAAGTTACGTACTGACAGGTGACATAGTCACACATCATACAAGTTACGTACTGACAGGTGACATAGTCACACATCATACAAGTTACGTACTGACAGGTGACAGTCACACATCATACAAGTTACGTACTGACAGGTTATATAGTCACACATCATACAAGTTACGTACTGACAGTTGATATAGTCACATATCATACAAGTTACGTACTGACATGTGATATAGTCACACATCATACAAGTTACGTACTGACAGGTGATATAGTCACACATCATACAAGTTACGTACTGACAGGTGACATAGTCACACATCATCCAAGTTACGTACTGACATGTGATATAGTCACACATCATACAAGTTACGTACTGACAGGTGATATAGTCACACATCATACAAGTTACGTACTGACAGGTGACATTGTCACACATCATACAAGTTACGTACTGACAGGTGACAGTCACACATCATACAAGTTACGTACTGACAGGTGACATAGTCACACATCATACAAGTTACGTACTGACAGGTGACATAGTCACACATCATACAAGTTACGTACTGACAGGTGACAGTCACACATCATACAAGTTACGTACTGACAGGTTATATAGTCACACATCATACAAGTTACGTACTGACAGTTGATATAGTCACATATCATACAAGTTACGTACTGACATGTGATATAGTCACACATCATACAAGTTACGTAGTGACAGGTGATATAGTCACACATCATACAAGTTACGTACTGACAGGTGACATAGTCACACACCATACAAGTTACGTACTGACAGGTGATATAGTCACACATCATACAAGTTACGTACTGACATGTGATATAGTCACACATCATACAAGTTACGTAATGACAGGTGATATAGTCACACATCATACAAGTTACGTACTGACATGTGATATAGTCACACATTATACAATTTACGTACTGACAGGTTATATAGTCACACATCATACAAGTTACGTACTGACAGGTTATATAGTCACACATCATACAAGTTACGTACTGACAGGTGACATAGTCACACATCATCCAAGTTACGTACTGACAGGTGACATAGTCACACATCATACAAGTTACGTACTGACAGGTGACATAGTCACACATCATACAAGTTACGTACTGACAGATTATATAGTCACACATCATACAAGTTACGTACTGACAGGTGATATAGTCACACACCATACAAGTTACGTACTGACAGGTGATATAGTCACACATCATACAAGTTACGTACTGACAGGTGATATAGTCACACATCACACAAGTTACGTACTGACAGGTTATATAGTCACACATCATACAAGTTACGTACTGAGAGTAAGCATTTTTATTTTATGTTGTAAGACAGACAGACAGACAGACAGACAGACTGGTTGACAAACAAACAACTCACCTGGACCAACAATTTCTGCAAGTCGGTTACAGATCTGCTGGGTTCCACCAACCACCTTCTGTTCCTGAAACGGCATTATGTGGATCAGTCAGTCTGTATGGCGGGCATTGAGTCGTTGTCAGTCTCAAGATCAGTCATTGACTCGATGTCAGTCTCTAGATCATTCATTGACTCGATGAGTCAGTCTCTAGATCATTTATGGACTCGATGAGTCAGTCCCTATATCATTCATTGACCCAATGAGTCACAGTCTCTATATCAGTCATTGACTCGATGAGTCAGTCTCTAAATCATTTATGGACTCGATGAGTCAGTCTCTAGATCATTTATGGACTCGATGAGTCAGTTTCTAGATCATTTATGGACTTGATGAGTCAGTCTCTAGATCATTCATTGACTCGATGAGTCAGTCTCTAGATCAGTCACTGACTCTATGAATCAGTCTCTAGATCGGTAATTGACTCGATGAGTCAGTCTCTAGATTATTTATGGACTCGAGGAGTCAGTCTCTAGATCATTTATGGACTCGAGGAGTCAGTCTCTAGATCAGTCATTGACTCGATGAGTCAGTCTGCAACCTTTGTCTGTGATCTGGCAACTTTTCATCGCCGCCCGATAAGCTAACAAACAAGCCGCCATTTTGTTAACCTAGTCAGAGGTGCATTGTTACCTGGAGCCCCTTAATACCAGTAGTCCGATTTTATTTTGCAGTCTGGAGTCAACAGTTCCTTTTTGAATTCCGCTATCTTTATCGTCATCATCACCATCATTATTATTATGAAAGAAAGAAAGTGGGACCGCTTGACATGTGACATAAGGAAAAGACTTGTGCTCACCTGTGCGCCGCCCTCCGTGGCGTTGATGACGTGCACGCGTCATGGAGGATTGTACTGTAGAGTGTAGAGGAGAGCACTTCATGCGGAGATGGGACTGAATTGTAGAATTTCGTCCAGCCCTACCATTAGTCAACAGAAAACATTTAGCTGTAGAGTGTACACATCATACATGGAGGATTGTGTCGTAAAGTTTAGACATCGCCCAATGAGGATTGTGTTGTGGAGTACAGACATCATAAGGGAGGAGTTTCTTTGTAGAATTGAGGTATTACACAGGAAGGATTAAGTTGTGGAGTGTAGATATCACATCATACAGGGAGGATTATAGACATCAAACAGGGAGGATTATAGACATCAAACAGGGAGGATTATAGACATCAAACAGGGAGGATCGTGTTGCGGATTGTAGACAGCACACACGGAGGATTGTGTTGTAGAATGTAGACATCACAGGGATGATTGTGTTCTAGACATCACATAGGGAGGACAGTGTTGTGGGCGGACAGTGTTGTGGGCGGACAGTGTTGTGGGCGGACAGTGTTGTGGGCGGACAGTGTTGTGGGCGGACAGTGTTGTGGGCGGACAGTGTTGTGGGCGGACAGTGTTGTGGAGGGCCAGAACTAAAGCAGGGAACTCACTTGGTCCAAGCGTGTTTGTTGATGAACTGTTGAACTGTCATCTGGTCCCATTCTTTGGCTCGTGCAGCCGTCCATGGCGCTGTCTGTGGGATCTGCTCGGGAGACGGGAACAATGTCCATCTTTTTGTGTGGCAATATCAGATGGAATACTGCGATTGCTCTCTCTCTCTCTCTCTCTCTCTCTCTCTCTCTCTCTCTCTCTCTCTCTCTCTCTCTCTCTCTCTCTCTCTCTCTCTCTCTCTCTCTCTCTCTAGATGGACACTAAATTAAAGTTTGTGACGTGGTAAATATCTCTGCATTTATCTTGTTAGAATGGTAAGTTTTATCGGCAACTTGTGAACAGATAAACTTAAAGGCCCAGCGTAACTATCTAGGCAACACATAGTTGTATAGCTGACCCATAGTTGTATAGCTGACCCATAGTATAGCTGACCCATAGTTGTATAGCTGACACATAATCGTATAGCTGACACATAATTGTATAGCTGACACATAATTGTATAGCTGACCCATAGTTGTATAGCTGACCCATAGTTGTATAGCTGACCCATAGTTGTATAGCTGACCCATAGTTGTATAGCTGACCCATAGTTGTATAGCTGACCCATAGTTGTATAGCTGACCCATAGTTGTATAGCTGACCCATAGTTGTATAGCTGACACATAGTTGTATAGCTGACACATAATCGTATAGCTGACACATAATCATATAGCTGACACATAATCGTATAGCTGACCCATAGTTGTATAGCTGACACATAATCGTATAGCTGACACATAATTGTATAGCTGACACATAATCGTATAGCTGACACATAATCGTATTGCTGACACATAATCGTATAGCTGACACATAATTATATAGCTGACACATAATTGTATAGCTGACACATAATTGTATAGCTGACACATAATTGTATAGCTGACACATAATTATATAGCTGACACATATGTGTATAGCTGACACATAATTGTATAGCTGACACATAATTATATAGCTGACACATAAGCGTATAGGTGACACATAATTGTATAGCTGACACATAATTGTATAGCTGACACATAATTATATAGCTGACACATATGTGTATAGCTGACACATAATTGTATAGCTGACACATAATCGTATAGCTGACACATAATCGTATAGTTGACACATAATTGTATAGCTGACACATAATTGTATAGCTGACACATAATCGTATAGTTGACACATAATTGTATAGCTGACACATAATCGTATAGTTGACACATAATTGTATAGCTGACACATAATTGTATAGCTGACACATAATCGTATAGCTGACACATAATTGTATAGCTGACACATAATTGTATAGCTGACACATAATCGTATAGGTGACACATAATTGTATAGCTGACACATAATTGTATAGCTGACACATAATCGTATAGCTGACACATAATTGTATAGCTGACACATAATTGTATAGCTGACACATAATTGTAAAGCTAATACATAATCGTATAGCTGACACATAATTGTATAGCTGACACATAATCGTATAGCTGACACATAATTGTATAGCTGACACATAATCGTATAGCTGACACATAATTGTATAGCTGACACATAATTGTATAGCTGACACATAATTGTATAGCTGACACATAATCGTATAGCTGACACATAATCGTATAGCTGACACATAATTGTATAGCTGACCCCTAATCGAATAGCTGACACATAATTGTATAGCTGACACATAATTGTATAGCTGACACATAATCGTATAGCTGACACATAATCGTATAGCTGACACATAATCGTATAGCTGACACATAATCGTATAGCTGACACATAATTGTATAGCTGACACATAATTGTATAGCTGACGCATAATTATATAGCTGACTCATAATTGTATAGCTGACACATAATTGTATAGCTGACACATAATTGTATAGCTGACACATAATTGTATAGCTGACACATAATTATATAGCTGACACATAATTAAATAGCTGACGCATAATTATATAGCTGACACATTATTATATAGCTGACACATAATTATATAGCTGACACATAATTGTATAGCTGACACATATTTGTATAGCTGACGCATAATTATATAGCTGACACATAATTGTATAGCTGACACATAATTGTATAGCTGATGCATAATTATATAGCTGACACATAATTGTATAGCTGACGCATAATTGTATAGCTGACACATAATTGTGTAGCTGACACATAATTGTATAGCTGACGCATAATTGTATAGCTGACGCATAATTATATAGCTGACACATAATTGTATAGCTGACACATAATTGTATAGCTGACACATAATTATATAGCTGACACATAATTGTATAGCTGACACATAATTGTATAGCTGACACATATTTGTATAGCTGACACATAATTATAAAGCTGACAAATAATTGTATAGCTGACACATAATTGTATAGCTGACACATAATTATATAGCTGACGCATAATTATATAGCTGACACATAATTGTATAGCTGACACATAATTTTATAGCTGACACATAATTATATAGCTGACGCATAATTGTATAGGTGACACATAATTATATAGCTGACGCATAATTGTATAGGTGACACATAATTATATAGCTGACGCATAATTGTATAGCTGACACATAATTGTATAGCTGACACATAATTGTATAGGTGACACATAATTATATAGCTGACGCATAATTGTATAGCTGACACATAATTGTATAGGTGACACATAATTATATAGCTGACGCATAATTGTATAGCTGACACATAATTGTATAGGTGACACATAATTGTATAGCTGACACATAATTGTATAGCTGACGCATAAGCGTATAGGTGACACATAATTGTATAGCTGACACATAATTGTATAGGTGACACATAATTGTATAGCTGACACATAATTGTATAGCTGACACATAATTGTATAGCTGACACATAATTATATAGCTGACGCATAATTGTATAGGTGACGCATAATTGTATAGCTGACGCATAATTGTATAGCTGACACATAATTGTATAGCTGACACATAATTGTATAGCTGACACATAATTATATAGCTGACGCATAATTGTATAGCTGACACACAATTGTATAGCTGACACATAATTATATAGCTGACGCATAATTGTATAGCTGACACATAATTGTATAGCTGACACATAATTGTATAGCTGACACATAATTATATAGCTGACGGCTAATTGTATAGCTGACACATAATTATATAGCTGACACATAATCGTATAGCTGACACATAATCGTATAGCTGACAAAAAAAATTCGTGCATATACAAAACCAGTCTGGATATATATACTGTGAATCTTGGACAATTATTAAACATGAGAAACAATTTTTTTAGGCTGTAATGATGTTGTTTTAGAGATGATGTTGTTTTAGAGATGATGTTGTTGTAGAGATGAATTCCTTGGACAGTCAGAAAAAAAGAGCAACTCTGATGTTGTGAAAGAGGCGAAGGCTCGAAGACAAATTGTCACAAACATCAGAAAGAGACAGTCATCCGTCTTTGGGAGCCAGGTTATGAGAACAAGGAATACTAGTGGGCACGGCATTTGACGATGATAAACTGTGAAGGTAACACATACACTTGTGGGAGATACATACATTTCTAGGTAATCCCAGCGTTACACAAGTATCAGATGTTAAGGGCGATTAGCTTTATAAGCAGCTCCAAACCACCAGGTATTTTATTAAACAATATTTGAAAATGTGTTCTGTGTTTCTTGTATTCTTATGGCCACGTGATCACAAGTATGAATATTGACTTGGAATACAAAACCAACGACCACGATGTCAAGAAATATTACTACGCACACACACACACACACACAAACACGTATATATATATATATATATATATATATATATATATATATATATATATATATATATATATATATATATATATACACGCACGCACGCACGCACGCACGCACTCACACACATACACACACACAACCTAACAAATAATCAACAAAAATGATCCTAACAACAACAATAGTAACAACGACGAGGACAAAAACAGACCTGTTTGCTCATCTGCTCAAACAAACGTAACATGTTGTTCATGTCCAGCCAGGACAGAAAGCTGCCCACTGGTGGAAATACCGACTTGAACCTGGTGGCTTTTCCCTGCAGAAAAGTGGCAAAACGTTACGCACACACCCACACACATAGATTATACTGTCGCTGGTCACTACTGTCTTTATGTACCATGTTTTAGGGCGGTGTAGGTCGGGGATCGATGGGAGGGGGGAGGGGGGGGGGGCGGCAGGAGCAAAAGGATTTAGGACCGCATGGTTGTTAGGTTGATTTCTTTTGCCCCCGACAGAAACACTCCATCAGGTTACCGGCATTCAAACCTGGGTACCCGACGCTGTAACCGCTCAGTCAACGGCCTTCTCTAGACAGGGTAACGGTGCTGACGTCATCGGCTTGGCGTGACGTCACCACCCCGGGCTAACTATACGCTCCGTTTAGACTCTGAAAGTACCGTGTTTTCGGTGTGTTCCCGGCCGTCTCCTGAGTGCTTCCCACAAAATTTCTATGAATAAGCTCGAGAATAGAACGCGGATTTAGGTTTATGCACATATACAAGCTAAAAGGAAACAGTAGAGAAAAACATATTAATAATAATTAATTAGTATGGCTTATACAGTTGATAGGCTTACATAATCTCTATAATCTATCTTCCTAAAATTTATCCTTTTCTTAATGATATGTAATAATAATAATAAATTCTATAATTTTCTTTTTAGAGGCGCAAAAAAAAAATTGGGTGGAGGACTTGTTTAGGATGTCACATGTTCAGATCAAAATATTGTAGGTAAAAACAGAAAGTACAACAGAAACTACTTACGTTTAGCTGGTGAATTTCCAGTATGTATCCACACTATCCACTGAAAATGAGTGGGTGAATTTTGCCAGCATATTATCCTTGTCCACCCAGTATAATGGCAGTATTCTTGTTGTCCACCCAGTATAATGGCAGTATTCTTGTTGTCCACCCAGTATAATGGCAGTATTCTTGTTGTCCACCCAGTATAATGGCAGTATTCTTGTTGTCCACCCAGTATAATGGCAGTATTCTTGTTGTCCACCCAGTATAATGGCAGTATTCTTGTTGTCCACCCAGTATAATGGCAGTATTCTTGTTGTCCACCCAGTATAATGGCAGTATTTTTGTTGTCCACCCAGTATAATGGCAGTATTCTTGTTGTCCACCCAGTATAATGGCAGTATTCTTGTTGTCCACCCAGTATAATGGCAGTATTCTTGTTGTCCACCCAGTATAATGGCAGTATTCTTGTGTCCACCTGGTATAATGGCAGTATTCCCTAGTATAATGGCAGTATTCTTGTTGTCCACCCCAGTATAATGGCAGTATTCTTGTTGTCCACCCAGTATAATATAATGGCAGTATTCTTCTTTGTCCACCCAGTATAATGGCAGTATTCTTGTTGTCCACCCAGTATAATGGCAGTATTCTTGTTGTCCACCCAGTATTGGCAGTATTCTTGTTGTCCACCCAGTATAATGGACAGTATTCTTGTTGTCCACCCAGTATAATGGCAGTATTCTTGTTGTCCACCCAGTGGCAGTAATGTGTTGCAGTATTCTTGTTGTCCACCCAGTATAATGGCAGTATTCTTGTTGTCCACCCAGTATAATGGCAGTATTCTTGTTGTCCACCCAGTATAATGGCAGTATTCTCGTTGTTGTCCACCCAGTATAATGTTGTCCACCCCAGTATAATATTCTTGTTGTCCACCCAGTATAATGGCAGTATTCTTGTTGTCCACCCAGTATAATGGCAGTATTCTTGTTGTCCACCCAGTATAATGGCAGTATTCTTGTTGTCCACCCAGTATAATGACAGTATTCTTGTTGTCCACCCAGTATAATGGCAGTCCACCTAGTATTGGCAGTATTCTTGTTGTCCACCCAGTATAATGGCAGTATTCTTGTTGTCCACCCAGTATAATGGCAGTATTCTTGTTGTCCACCCAGTATAATGGCAGTATTCTTGTTGTCCACCCAGTATAATGGCAGTATTCTTGCTGTCCACCCAGTATAATGACAGCATTCTTGCTGTCCACCCAGTATAATGGCAGTATTCTTGCTGTCCACCCAGTATAATGACAGTATTCTTGTTGTCCACCCAGTATAATGGCAGTATTCTTGTTGTCCACCCAGTATAATGACAGTATTCTTGCTGTCCACCCAGTATAATGACAGTATTCTTGCTGTCCACCCAGTATAATGACAGTATTCTTGTTGTCCATCCAGTATAATGACAGTATTCTTGTTGTCCACCCAGTATAATGACAGTATTCTTGTTGTCCACCCAGTATAATGGCAGTATTCTTGTTGTCCACCCAGTATAATGGCAGTATTCTTGTTGTCCACCCAGTATAATGGCAGTATTCTTGCTGTCCACCCAGTATAATGGCAGTATTCTTGTTGTCCACCCAGAATAATGGCAGTATTCTTGTTGTCCACCTAGTATAATGGCAGTATTCTTGTTGTCCACCTAGTATAATGGCAGTATTCTTGTTGTCCACCCAGTATAATGGCAGTATTCTTGCTGTCCACCTAGTATAATGGCAGTATTCTTGTTGTCCTCCTAGTATAATGGCAGTATTCTTGCTGTCCACCTAGTATAATGGCAGTATTCTTGTTGTCCACCTAGTATAATGGCAGTATTCTTGCTGTCCACCTGGTATAATGGCAGTATTCTTGTTGTCCACCTAGTATAATGGCAGTATTCTTGCTGTCCACCTGGTATAATGGCAGTATTCTTGTTGTCCACCTAGTATAATGACAGTATTCTTGTTGTCCACCCAGTATAATGGCAGTATTCTTGTTGTCCACTCAGTATAATGACAGTATTCTTGTTGTCCACCTAGTATAATGGCAGTATTCTTGTTGTCCACCCAGTATAATGGCAGTATTTTTGTTGTCCACCTAGTATAATGGCAGTATTCTTGTTGTCCACCCAGTATAATGACAGTATTCTTGTTGTCCACCTAGTATAATGGCAGTATTCTTGTTGTCCACCTAGTATAATGACAGTATTATTGTTGTCCACCTAGTATAATGGCAGTATTCTTGTTGTCCACCCAGTATAATGGCAGTATTCTTGTTGTCCACCTAGTATAATGGCAGTATTCTTGTTGTCCACCCAGTATAATGACAGTATTCTTGTTGTCCACCTAGTATAATGGCAGTATTCTTGCTGTCCACCCAGTATAATGGCAGTATTCTTGTTGTCCACCCAGTATAATGACAGTATTCTTGCTGTCCACCCAGTATAATGGCAGTATTCTTGCTGTCCACCCAGTATAATGGCAGTATTCTTGCTGTCCACCCAGTATAATGGCAGTATTCTCGTTGTCCACCCAGTATAATGACAGTATTCTTGCTGTCCACCCAGTATAATGGCAGTATTCTTGCTGTCCACCCAGTATAATGGCAGTATTCTTGTTGTCCACCCAGTATAATGGCAGTATTCTTGTTGTCCACCTAGTATAATGGCAGTATTCTTGTTGTCCACCCAGTATAATGACAGTATTCTTGTTGTCCACCTAGTATAATGGCAGTATTCTTGCTGTCCATCCAGTATAATGGCAGTATTCTTGTTGTCCACCCAGTATAATGACAGTATTCTTGCTGTCCACCCAGTATAATGGCAGTATTCTCGTTGTCCACCTAGTATAATGGCAGTATTCTCGTTGTCCACCCAGTATAATGGCAGTATTCTCGTTGTCCACCTAGTATAATGGCAGTATTCTCGTTGTCCACCCAGTATAATGGCAGTATTCTTGCTGTCCACCCAGTATAATGACAGTATTCTTGTTGTCCACCCAGTATAATGGCAGTATTCTTGCTGTCCACCCAGTATATTGTATATTAGTAAAATTTCTGATGTCCACCTAGTATAATAGCAATATTCTCCTTGTCCATCCAGTCTTCTTTTTCTTGTGTCGTCTCACTGAAACCAGGTTGTATCCTAGGGTCGTGGTTTTCTGTTTTTGTCTTGCACTTCTAGGGTGGCTTGAGTAATGGATTTGTTCATCTTTTTGGCAGGTTTTGGCTACACCATTCATCCAGCTCTTACCTAATCTTCCTCTTGCCTTCCTCCCAAATGTACTACTGAAAAAAGTCTCATATGCAGTTTGGTTGGCTACATTAACGGACAAGTGTCAGAATTTCCACATATGTTGATAGATAAAATTAACTATTCATCTTATTACCTTAAGTATACAGTGATCTAATATGCTGATAATTAATGAGTGAACTTAGCCAGCCAATTTTTCTGTGGAATTAATTTTAGCGATCTATGTCTCCGGTCTCCGAAGAAAATTTAATCACACTCACTTTATATCCACTGGAAGGGTCATATTTCGAGCGACATTCAGATATAGAACATTTTGCAGGCATAGTTAATAACACTTTATACGTAAGAACTGTCTTTCTCGGAAAAAGTAAATATAAAAAGCACGATAAAACACGTAAAAACCAGCAGTTCGACAATCACTGCCAACCCGAAGCTATACACAGTGTTAACCTTGGCGCTCCGGCTGACGGAATCTGTTGCGTAGCCTAAAGTAAGTCATGGCTCAGCTAGTCGCTCCCCCCCCCCCCCACACACACACACACAACACGCACAAACACATACACACACAATAGTCATTACAAAAACAAGAGCCACATAAATGTTTGCACATTCAGCAAACGAGAAAAGTGATACAGATTGTAATACTAAATGTAATCAAACACCAATGGACAAAAACAGTTTTGATTTGACTGTATATAATGTGTGTTGTGTAGACTATGGAAGTGTGTGATACGGTATTGTATGATGTGTGCTCTCTCACTCTCTTCCCCCCTCTCTCTCTCTTCCCCCTCTCTCTCTCTCTCCTCTCTCTCTCTCTCTCTCTCTCTCTCTCTCTCTCTCTCTCTCTCTCTCATACCGACAGATGGACACAAACACACACACTCATTAACACCTGGACACACTACGCTCACCTGGCCGTAATACACCAAATCCTCTTTCTCATTGGTCCGGAAAGTTTTCAGGCCAAACTCTTCAATGAGTTTCAGGACTCGCCTCTGATCCGGGCCCACATAGGCGGCCCCAAGGTCAACATACTTGGCCATTTTGTTCTGAGGAGAAAATAGAGTAGACAAAGATCAGGCTGACCTTGGTGACTGCACCTGGACAGCTCAGCTTGGGCAGATGTTGTCATAGATCATTTGGAAATCAACCAATCACAGTTCCCACCTCACAGCAGACATGGCACCTCATAGTTACTCCGTTCACGTGCCAGTAAGGCCAAACACAGTGTCCATCCCTGTCCCTTGTGGTCAGTCTGACACAGACTGCAGTTTCAGCAAATCCAAAAGCATATTCACGTGTTAAATCCATAAGCAGCCATCCGAGCTGCCAACATAACCAGTCCAACACTAGAAATACAGTTCATAATCAATAGAAGTTACAATAGCTCAGTAGTTGCAGATTATTCCATAAGGTACCGGCGGGTTTTTGGCAACAGGCCAAGCGCCATTTTCTGAATGTGTAATTCACAACACAAACCACGTTAGGCAGGCAAAAATCATTTAAAATTAGATCTGCAGCTCACAGTGTTGCGCCTTACCATTAACTTAGTAGCTAGAGGACAGAAGTATGTTATTTCAGTTTACATATCAATTCAAATACAATGGTCAGCTGTCACTTGAAGCAAACTTGCCACCATTGAAATTGTCAGCCTGCCTATTCTACACACTGACCTGCAGTCCATGTTCTAGAATACACTGAGAGTCATCATCATCATGTTGCAAGTCCATGTTCTAGAATACACTGGGAGTCATCATCATCATGTTGCAAGTCTATGTTCTAGAATACACTGGGAGTCATCATCATCATCATGTTGCAAGTCCACAGAATGAGTCGTCATCATCATGTTGCAAGTCCATGCATACACTGGGGGTCATCATCATGTTGCAAGTCCATGTTCTAGAATACACTGGGAGTCATCATCATCATGTTGCAAGTCCATGTTCTAGAATACACTGGGAGTCATCATCATCATGTTGCAAGTCCATGTTCTAGAATACACTGGCAGCATCGATAACAAAATGTGTGAATGTAGAAACATATGAAAGCCAGTAGATGTTGCTGTTGCTGCATCGCCGCCAGCCAGCAGTAGTAGTCATGGAGATAGTACTCGTTATTTAGAGTTGGTGTGGAAGTAGTAGTGGTGGTAGTGGTAGTAGCAATTGTTGTAGTAGTGGTGGTAGTAGTAGCAATTGTTGTAGTAGTGGTAGTAGCAATTGTTGTAGTAGTGGTGGTAGTAGTATTAGCAATTGTAGTAGTAGTAGTGGTAGTAGTAGTAGCAATTGTTGTAGTAGTGGTGGTAGTGGTAGTAGCAATTGTTGTAGTAGTGGTGGTAGTGGTAGCACTAGCAGCAGCAGCTACCCTGTTGTTTACCAGTAGTAACGCTGGTAATGGTACACATGCAGTGGGACCTGCAGGACAACAGGATTGTGTTGCTGGGCAGCAGGCGTCTGACAGCAACACTGGTGGCTAACAATGGCCAATTGGACTAGTCAGACTTAGTAGTAGTTGTAGTAGCAATAGCAATAGCAAAATCAGTTGTTCTAGTAGTTTTAATGGTGTTGGTAGGAGTCACCGTTAAAGACAGTAAACAAAAAAAAACAAAAAATCCTGACAAGAAACGAACAGAAAATTATAAATCCATCCATCCATTAATTAAAAAAAAAAAAAAAAAAAAATCAAACACTTTCAAACTTCTGCGAGCAGTAGTGGTTTTAATTGTGGTATGTTTTCTTTGTGCCAATTATATTGGCTAAGAAATGTTAATTGCAGCAAGAAGAATCACTCAAGGGAAACAGACGGACCGAGAACACGAGGATGTCCAAGAGAAACCCTAACTCTAACGTGGATGAGAGAGGCCAAAGCTGCTCGACTGGATTCCAGCCATGATTGCAAAAGATAGAACGGAATGCATCAATAGACTGTCAACACATCTGGACATCTAATGGCGCAACTGCACAATGAAAGCAGTATTTGCAGTAGCGATCATGATGGTTGTGGTGGTGGTGGTGGTAGTGGTGGTGGTGATGGTGGTGGTGGTGATGGTGGTGGTGGTGGTGATGGTGGTGGTGTTGGTGGTGGTGGTGGTGGTGGTGGTGATGGTAACAGTAACTGGGCAGAACTTGACAGAAATCAACAGCGACAGGTGGATCTCTGGTAGAAAATAAGTCGGGTTGACAGACTGACAACAATAATTCTCAGATATTAATGTCTGTGATACCTTGAGCTTCACCTGTCAGAATAAGTTTCTAGATTGCCCTAGATTATACAGCTGTCAGGTGTTGCCACAGACAGGTTTGAGCCAACAAGACAGCCAGCTGGCCACCTAAAGCCACCCACCTCGACTGTGTGCATACGACCCCCACAGGTGACCACCTAAAGCCACCCACCTCTACTGTGTACATGCGACCCCCACAGCTGACCACCTAAAGCCACCCACCTCTACTGTGTACATGCGACCCCCACAGCTGACCACCTAAAGCCACACACCTCTACTGTGTACATACGACTCCCACAGGTGACCACCTAAAGCCACCCACCTCTACTGTGTGCATGCGACCCCCACAGCTGACCACCTAAAGCCACCCACCTCTACTGTGTACATGCGACCCCCACAGCTGACCACCTAAAGCCACCCACCTCGACTGTGTACATACGACCCCCACAGCTGACCACCTGAAGCCACCCACCTCGACTGTGTACATACGACCCCCACAGCTGACCACCTAAAGCCACCCACCTCTACTGTGTACATACGACCCCCACAGCTGACCACCTGAAGCCACTCACCTCGACTGTGTGCATGAGACCCTCACAGCTGACCACCTAAAGCCACCCACCTCTTCTGTGTACATACGACCCCCACAGCTGACCACCTGAAGCCACCCACCTCGACTGTGTACAGACGACCCCCACAGCTGACCACCTGAAGCCACCCACCTCGACTGTGTGCATGCGACCCCCAGTCCGGCCACGGGCTTCCAGCACCAGGACGTCCACGTTTGACTTTTGTAGGGATCGAGCCGCCGTCAAACCTGGGGAGGAGTCCAGCAGTCAGACTAGCAATGGATCAGTCATGCTGGTCGTCAGTCAAACAGTCAGGCGAGTCGTTATTCAGTCTACAATTCAGTCATTCGGTCAGTTTTCAGTTTTTCTACAGTCAGTCCAGTTCAGTCAAATTCGGTCATTCAGTCAGTTTGCTAGTCAAACATTTAGTCATTCAGTCAGTCAGGCTACTTGTCAGTCAAACATTTAGTCATTCAGTCAGTCAGGCTACTTGTCAGTCAAACATTTAGTCATTCAGTCAGTCAGGCTACTTGTCAGTCAAACAGTCAATCATTCAGTCCGCCAGGCTAGTCGTCAGTCAAACATTTAGTCATTCAACCAGGCTAGTTGTCAGTCAAACAGTTAATCTAGTCATCAGTCAAACATTCAGTCAGTCAGGTTAGTCGTCAGTCAAATGTTAGGCTAGTCGTCAGTCAAATATTTAGTCATTCAGTCAGTGGGGCTAGTCGTCTGTGAAACAGTTAGGTTAGTCGTTAGTCAAACAGTCAGTCATTTAGTCCGTGAGGCTAATCGTCAGTCAAGCAGTCAGGCTAGTCGACAGTCAAACATTTAGTCATTCAGTCCGTCAGGCTAGACGTCAGTCAAACAGTCAGGCTAGACGTCAGTCAAACGATTTAGTCATTCAGTCCGTGAGGCTAGACGTCAGTCAAACAGTCAGGCTAGTCGACAGTTAAACAGTCAGGCTAGTCGGCAGTCAAACAGTCAGTAATTCAGTGAATAGTAAATCAAGTTATCGACTAAATTCACAGTCAGATTATAAATCACTCAGCATTGTAACCACTCAGTCTAATAATAATTCAGACAGTTAGACCACTACTCAACCAAACAGTCAGTCTAACAATAATTCAGACAATTAGACCACTACTCAACGAAACAGTCAGTCTAACAATAATTCAGACAATTAGACCACTACTCAACCAAACAGTCAGTCTAACAATAGTTCAGACAGTTAGACCACTACTCAACAAAACAGTCAGTCTAATAATAATTCAGACAGTTAGACCACTACTCAACCAAACAGCCAGTCTAATAATAGTTCAGACAGTTATACCACTACTCAACAAAACAGTCAGTCTAACAATAATTCAGATAATTAGACCACTACTCAACCAAACAGTCAGTCTAACAATAGTTCAGACAGTTATACCACTACTCAACAAAACAGTCAGTCTAATAATAATTCAGATAATTAGACCACTACTCAACCAAACAGTCAGTCTAACAATAATTCAGACAGTTAGACCACTACTCAACCAAACAGTCAGTCTGAAAAAAGAAAAGACCCACTGACCCACTAACTAGGGAAGTTTCCTTGGAAGTCGGAGTGCCCCTGTCAGACAGGCCAGGAATCTACAGTCTGCTAGCTGCTAATTTTATACTTGCTGTCGCTTGCGGGATGCAGTTTTTAGTTATGTTGAAGCTTTTGCCAGGGGCCCTCAATATAGCCGGGCCTGAAATATGGCCCAACGTCTGAACGTGGTTTCCGGGACCTCTCCACGTGTGATCCTCATCCGCATGGTAGCACTTTGTGTCACAGGGTGTTTATCGCTTGTGTGATGTCCTAGTGGGGGACAACTTATCTACTTATCTAACTACCTACTTACAGTCTTCTAGATTGTAGAAATAGGTGTGCCAGGAAAACTCAAGTTCTGGAATGAAACCAAATCCATAAGTGGACGAATCGGAGAGATCTTTCCGCTGGAGTGTTTAGCCATCAGGCCAGCAACAACAGCATCCCATGGGGACAACCCGTACCTACCCCAACAACAATTTAACAACAGCATCCCATGGGGACAACCCGTACCTACCCCAACAACAATTTAACAACAGCATCCCATGGGGACAACCCGTACCTACACCAACAATAATTTAACAACAACAGCATCCCTGTGGACAACCCGTACCTACACCAACAACAATTTAACAACAACATTTCATGGAGACAAACCATACCTACCCTAACAACAATTTAACAACAACATCTTATGGAGACAAAATATACTTACCCTTAGAACAATTCAACAACATCTTATGGAGATAAACCGTACCTAACCTTACAACAATTAAACAACAACATCTCATAGAGACAAACCATACCTACCCTTACAACAATTTAACAACACCTCATGAAGACAAACCATACCTTCCCCAACAACAATTTAACAACATCTTATGGAGACAAACCGTACCTACCCCAACAACAATTTAACAACAACATCTCATAGAGACAACATGTCCTTACTCCGACAACAATTTAACAACAACATCTCATAGACACAACATGTCCTTACTCCGACAACAATTTAACAACAACATCTCATAGAGACAACATGTCCTTACTCCGACAACAATTTAACAACAACATCCACCTACCACTAAGACCCGCCCCAATGATGACAACATCTGCTGCTCTCCTCTCGGGTTTGTCTGTGCCCATTGCCTCCATCTCATCCAGATCAGATGGGAAACAGTTTAATGTTAACGTCTTGTAGCCTCCACAAAACCTAGGAACTGCTGCTCAGTGGAATACTTCAGTTAGCCGCCAGACACCTGCAACACGCCTTATACTGAACAAAGGCCACTGACGGCCAGGGAAGGGTCTTAGGTAACGGCTGTCAGAGGTACAGGTGGCAGATGAGTATTATTGTATTACCATAATGTGTTCACTTTTCAGTGTGACATTGCAAATGACACTGTGCAGAGACCAGCTCACACAGCAGACTGACAGCTGGGGTCAGTTGTAGACAGTACAGCACCCACACAGTGGATAGACAGCTGGGGCCAGTTGTAGACAGTACAGCACCCACACAGTGGATAGACAGCTGGGGTCAGTTGTAGAATGTACAGCACCCACACAGTGGATAGACAGCTGGGGTCAGTTGTAGAGAGTACAGCACCCACACAGTGGATAGACAGCTGGGGTCAGTTGTAGAGAGTACAGCACCCACACAGTGGATAGACAGATAGGGTCAGTTGTAGACAGTACAGGACCCACACGGTGGATAGACTGATAGGGTCAGTTGTAGACAGTACAGCACCCACACAGTGGATAGACAGCTGGGGTCAGTTGTAGACAGTACAGGACCCACACGGTGGATAGACAGATAGGGTCAGTTGTAGACGGTACAGCACCCACACAGTGGATAGACAGCTGGGGTCAGTTGTAGACAGTACAGCACCCACACAGTGGATAGACAGCTGGGGTCAGTTGTAGACAGTACAGCACCCGCACAGTGGATAGACAGCTAGGGTCAGTTGTAGACAGTACAGCACCCACACAGTGGATAGACAGCTGGGGTCAGTTGTTGACAGTACAGCACTAGCACAGTGGATAGACAGCTAGGGTCAGTTGTATACAGTACAGCACCCACACAGTGGATAGACAGCTGGGGTCAGTTGTAGACAGTACAGCACTAGCACAGTGGATAGACAGCTAGGGTCAGTTGTATACAGTACAGCACCCACACAGTGGATAGACAGCTGGGGTCAGTTGTAGACAGTACAGCACCCACACAGTGGATAGACAGCTGGGGTCAGTTGTATACAGTACAGCACTAGCACAGTGGATAGACAGATAGGGTCAGTTGTAGACAGTACAGCACCCACACAGTGGATAGACAGCTAGGGTCAGTTGTAGACGGTACAGCAACCACACAGTGGATAGACAGCTAGGGTCAGTTGTAGACAGTACAGCACCCACACAGTGGATAGACAGCTGGGGTCAGTTGTAGACAGTACAGCACCCACACAGTGGATAGACAGCTGGGGTCAGTTGTAGACAGTACAGCACCCACACAGTGGATAGACAGCTGGGGTCAGTTGTAGACAGTACAGCACCCACACAGTGGATAGACAGCTGGGGTCAGTTGTAGACAGTACAGCACCCACACAGTGGATAGACAGCTAGGGTCAGTTGTTGACAGTACAGCACCCACACAGTTGATAGACAGCTAGGGTCAGTTGTTGACAGTACAGCACCCACACAGTGGATAGACAGCTGGGGTCAGTTGTAGACAGTACAGCACTAGCACAGTGGATAGACAGCTGGGGTCAGTTGTAGACAGTACAGCACTAGCACAGTGGATAGACAGCTGGGGTCAGTTGTAGACAGTACAGCACCCACACAGTGGATAGACAGCTGGGGTCAGTTGTAGACAGTACAGCACTAGCACAGTGGATAGACAGCTGGGGTCAGTTGTAGACAGTACAGCACTAGCACAGTGGATAGACAGCTGGGGTCAGTTGTAGACAGTACAGCACTAGCACAGTGGATAGACAGCTGGGGTCAGTTGTAGACAGTACAGCACCCACACAGTGGATAGCTGGGGTCAGTTGTAGACAGTACAGCACTAGCACAGTGGATAGACAGCTGGGGTCAGTTGTAGACAGTACAGCACCCACACAGTGGATAGACAGCTGGGGTCAGTTGTAGACAGTACAGCACCCACACAGTGGCAGTTGTAGACAGTACAGCACCCACACAGTGGATAGACAGCTGGGGTCAGTTGTAGACAGTACAGCACCCACACAGTGGATAGCTGGGGTCAGTTGTAGACAGTACAGCACTAGCACAGTGGATAGACAGCTGGGGTCAGTTGTAGACAGTACAGGACCCACACAGTGGATAGACAGCTGGGGTCAGTTGTAGACAGTACAAGACCCGTACAGTGGACACATAGCTAGGGTCAACTGTTGACAGAACAGGCCTTACACAGTGGACATATAGTTGGGGTCAGTTGTAGACGGTACAGGCCTCACACAGTGGACAGTTGTAGACATTTCCGTAAATTTGAATGTGTCATGAAAAAGGGCGGCTTGGAAATATCCTGGGAATGAAAAAGTTAAAGGAAACAGTGACACAGAAAGACTTTTGAAACTGCTGTACCCATTTCGTGTATCATGTTCTTAAGTTGCCTCTGATTTGATATGAGGACGCTACTTTCATTCAGTCATCACCATTATCAAAACTTTTTTGTGCGAAACAAGAGAAATGTGGTGATCATGTGTGAAGGAGGAGTGTGGTGATAATGTGTGAAGGAGAAGTGTGGTGGTAATGTGTGAAGGAGAAGTGTGGTGGTAATGTGTGAAGGAGAAGTGTGGTGGTAATGTGTGAAGGAGAACTGTGGTGATCATGTTTAAAGGAGAACTGTGGTGATCATGTGTGAAGGAGAAGTGTGGTGATCATGTGTGAAGGAGAACTGTGATGATCTTGTGTGAAGGAGAACTGTGGTGATTATGTGTGAAGGAGAACTGTGGTGGTTATGTGTAAAGGAGAACTGTGGTGATTATGTGTGAAGGAGAACTGTGGTGATTATGTGTGAAGGAGAACTGTGGTGATCTTGTGTGAAGGAGAACTGTGGTGATAATGTGTGAAGGAGAACTGTGGTGATAATGTGTGAAGGAGAACTGTGGTGATTATGTGTGAAGGAGAACTGTGGTGATCTTGTGTGAAGGAGAACTGTGGTGATTATGTGTGAAGGAGAACTGTGGTGATTATGTGTGAAGGAGAACTGTGGTGATTATGTGTGAAGGAGAACTGTGGTGATTATGTGTGAAGGAGAACTGTGGTGATCTTGTGTGAAGGAGAACTGTGGTGATAATGTGTGAAGGAGAACTGTGGTGATTATGTGTGAAGGAGAACTGTGGTGATTATGTGTGAAGGAGAACTGTGGTGATTATGTGTGAAGGAGAACTGTGGTGATCTTGTGTGAAGGAGAACTGTGGTGATAATGTGTGAAGGAGAACTGTGGTGATCATGTGTGAAGGAGAACTGTGGTGATCTTGTGTGAAGGAGAACTGTGGTGATAATGTGTGAAGGAGAACTGTGATGATCATGTGTAAAGGAGAACTGTGGTGATCTTGTGTGAAGGACAAGCTCGGTGAAAGTTTTGCAGTGAACAAGTAGATGTCTGCCAGTTGAGCATGTGAAAGTGAGTTACTGGGCAAGATGTTTAATACCTGGTGTGATCGACGTGTGTAAATATGCAGACCTTGTTGCGCGCTGGAGACCGGCAAACTGGACGCCTGGTATATTGATAATTAACAGCGTTTGAGAAAAACGGATTCACATCCTAGACGACTGCAGTGGGCAACTTACATGCTGCTGAAGTATAGGAGGGGAGTTGGCCTAGTGCAGCACTGAACCTAAACAGCACCGAACCTGAACAGCACTGAACCTGAACAGAATAGAAGCTGAGCAGCACTGAACCTGAACAGAACAGAAGCTGAGCAGCACCGAAGCTGAGCAGCACCGAAGCTGAACAGCACCGAAGCTGAACAGCACCGAACCTGAACAGCACTGAAGCTGAACAGCACCGAACCTGAACAGCACCGAAC